TATGTGCAATTCTTAAAAACGCGGGAAGCAGTTGGCGATTCTCCACTTTGTCCCAATTTCGCACGTGATGATTAAGCACTTTTGTTCCATAAAAGTTCTAGCATAAGCGTAATTCGGCTAGCAGATTGTTGGAAAAAAAAAAATGTGTTAAAAAAAAAAAAATGCCTTTACTTTGTGAAAAGAAAATGGCGTCCAAACAAAAATTAGCAGGTTGCTGTAGCAGGGTTGGTTGCCAAATTACCATAATCCAAAGATTAACCGTAGATATACGTGTTAAAAAGTTCGCCAGGTGAATTATTCTTCGGGCAAACTGAAAAAAATGTGCCAAGATAAGTTTTTGAATTTCTCCATAAATTTTGCACCAAATTTTACAAAATTTAATAATTAGGTATGATTTGAGTCATAGAATCGAAATATGAAAAAAAAATGGCATGCCATTTCAGAAAAGTCCTATTTTGTGTCAAAATACGTATATTAGAATAATAAGAAATAGGAATGTAGTCGAAGAAGCTATTATTAGTAAAGAGTTAAAAATTAGTATTAAGTTCTGCTTAATTTTAAATGAATTAAAAAAGTCAGTATGAGAATCCAACTAATAAGTAAATATCTGAACCTTACCTAGCTTGTTTCCGATACACATTAGAATTGAAAGGTACTAATCAAAATATAAACTAAAACAATGAGTGAATTAAAATGTATTAAGTACTAAAAAGTAGATGATCAAAAAAGGTAACAAGAAAACATCAACTCTATGTTAATCTCTTTTGTCTGGAGCTTCGAAACAGAATTTGTCAAGGGAAAAGTGTTATGAAGCTTCAAACAATGCTGATTAATGAGACCAGCTAAAACAAATTTCATTCCGACTAATTCACTGAGACTTAGAATCATATAATGTAATTAAAAGGTCAAAAGTAATGAGCAGAATTTAAGGTCTCGTTGAATTGTCCCTTTTCCCGACCTGTTTCAGCCATCTAATACAAAAATTGAAAAGAAAGAGGTAAATATTTAAAACTATACAAAAATCGAGACTAGGTAGGTAAGGTTCACATATTCTTACTTATTACAGTATAAAGTTCATAATCCTTACTCGTTGGGACTTCGGCGATTCCAGATTATGGGTTTTTCCGAATTATAGATCATCAATTTAAATCTGGTAAGATGGCATGCAGAAATTATACAATTAAAAATATGACACCGTAATTTATGAAATAAAGAGCAATTATGATCTAAATTTTACAAAAAAAAAGCTTAACATTTATTTGTTTACTTTATTAAACATTTCTTTCAACGTGCGCATGCGTAAAGCATACATTAAGCATAGTCGAAATTAGAAAATTGCAACCAGAAAACTATTTGATGTGTATTCGTAATATGTATAATGACGAGGAAATTGATTTAAATCATATCAAAGACGGAGTACATTGAGATGAAATACTGCATTTAGTAAGGAATTATAAGCCGAATAAAATAAAAACATCTGCCCTGAAGATGAGGATAGTGCTGACCGATCAACTTCCAGTTCATTGCGCCCCGCGACGTTTAACTTCTCACAAATCTCTAAACTTTCGATTCCAAAGATTTTGGCTCCTATCGAAAAAGCTTTCAAGTTCAGTAAAGTTTCAGATTCATAGAAAGAAATGATTAGGCATCTTATCGCTTATATTGTGAAATTCAATAATAAACCTTTGAAACCAAATCTAACCAAAAGAGAAAGAGCTACAATAGGCGAAATTCATTCTAACCCGAATATTATCATTTCAAAGGCCGACAAAGGTGGCCAGGTAGTCGTCATGGATAAGAACACTTACATTGATGGAGTCACTATACTCTTAAACGAAGAACCATATAATCCAATCCCTAAAGATCCTTCACCTTCGGACCTGTCAAAAATTAAAAACTGCGATCAAATCTTCACAAAATCTTTCAAGCAACTTAAAACATTCGCTTATCCCATCTGATGCGAATTGTGCCAGATTATACGCTCTTCCCAAAATTCATAAACATGGTATTCCTTTCCGCTCTATTGTATCAAATTTAGGTACTGCCTCGTATCCGTTAGCTAAATAACTAGTTTCTGGATTTTCAACTCTATTAGACAATAACATTTACACCATAAAAAATTCAATAGAGTTTTTAAAAACATTTCTCCTAGAAATTTACTCATGGTTTCGGCTGATCTTTGGAATATGGTAACTGGTAGTTTGGCGACATTTTAGAGGCAATAAAGGTTACTACCTAGGACTTTGGTAATAATGTGAGCAGTACTCAGTTCCGATTATGCATTATTTTGTGTGAGGGAAATGATAGATCATGAGATATGTCATGTGATATTAATGGACGAATTACAGTTATGTAATCGGAAAAAGGGGGGAAATTTGGAAAAATATTTCTGGCAGTATATTATTTTGTATTAAGCTTCATAGTGTGTTGTGTGAAGTAGTGTTGAATAATTTTCGGATTGTATGGCGCTGTCTAATATTATTTTAAAGATCCGGAAACAGGTGCACATACCAATACAATAGAGGGCACATGGAGTGCTATAAAAAGCGCCATTCTGAGGCATTGTGATAAAATACAGCATGTAATCTTACGTGCTAATCGCGGCATTAAGTGGAACATGGAACAACATTGTGATAAAGAGAATTTTGCTTTTTATTTAGCGGAGGAAGTGTAGAGGAAAAATTTGCAGAAAAAATCATTCAATAATTTTATTGAATCAATAATAAAAGTGTATCCACCATGTAAGCAAGATTCTGAAGAAGATTAGGTCAGTTAGTATTTTTAATTATTTGAAGATATTATCTTTATGCATTGTTCTAAATGCAAGGTGGAAGTAAAGTAATTTGGTATTATTGGAAAATTGTTATTAGCAATGATTTAGTTTAAGTAATTAGGATTGTAAGCTAATTTTTATTAATTTAATGTATGTGATTATTTATATTTTAAGTAGTGTTTTTGAATTTAATTATATTTTAATTAAATGATAGTTATTTTGTGAATTATATGTTTGTAAAATTTGGTATACGTTAGAGTGGAAGTAAACGTGCATGGAAATAATTTAAATATTTGACACTAAGTATTTGTAACCATTTGTAATGTTCGTGGTATGAATTAGTTGGTGACGTTTGTAATATAATAGATAATGTAGAGGTAAAAGTTTTTGGATATTTTATTTATTTTATACAAGGAAATGTTCATATTTGGAAAGGGTATATACTTGTTCGCGATCAGGTAATTTCATATATGTTCTTTTTACCGGGTTTAAAGATTCAGAAAATTGTCATGCATTTTCGTGAAATTTTTTCTAATTTATGAGAAAAAAAGCAGTGTACATGGATATAGTGAAGAGTGTGAGCAATGCCATTTTTGTGCAATTTTTGGGATGTTTTTTTTAAGTAAAAATAAGTCGATGGTATACATGGTTTAGTGATATTTTAATTAAATGATAGTTATTTTGTGAATTTTATGTTTGTAGGAATTTGGTATATGTTGTATAAGTTGAAGTAAACGTGCATGGAAATAATTTAAATATTTGACACTAAGTATTTGTAATGTTTGCGGTATGAATTCGTTGGTGACGTTTTATAATATAATAGATAATTAGAGGTAAAAGTTTTTGGATATTTTATTTATTTTATACGTGGAAATGTTCATATTTGGAAAGGGTATATACTTTTTCGCAATCAGGTAATTTCATATATGTTCTTTTTACCGGATTTAAAGATTCAGAAAACTGTCATGCATTTTCGTGAAATTTTTCTAATTTATGAGAAAAAAGCAGTGTACATGGATATAGTGAAGAGTGTGCGCAATGCCATTTTTGTGCAATTCTGGGATGTTTTTTTAAGTAAAAATAAGTCGATGTGTACATGGTTTATGTGTATGTGTTATTCTGAAAAACGCGCAAGGAGTTTGCTATTGTGCACTTTTTCCCAATTTTGCAGTGAATATTTGTCATGATTAAGCAGTTTTGTTAGATAAAATTTCTAGCATAAGTGTAATTCGGCTAGTAGATTGTTGGAAAAAGTGTTGAGTAAATAAAAAGAAAAGAAACATGTCTTTACTTCGTGAAGACAAAATGTCGGCGGGAAAAAAAAATAAAGGGTCGCTGTAGCAGAGTTGGTCGCCAAATTTTCGCCCAAAAATCGCCAAGTTACCATAATCCAAAGATCACCCATGGTTTCTTTTGATGTAAAATCATTATTCACTAATGTTCCAGTGGAGGGTGCATTAAGATATCTAGAAACCAGACTTCACGAATTTCATTTCTCTTGCATCAAAATTGATGAGCTAATTTCTCTCACTCTGTTTGAAACAAACACATTTTGTTTTCCAAAATAAATATTACAAGCAAACTGAGGGATTAGCCATAGGAAGCTCCCTCATTCCCATCCTGGCTGATATCTACATGCATTATTGGAATATGTTATTTATTCCCTTCAAAATTTTCTACAGTTTTTTTTAACATTTATTGGAATAAAGTTATCCTCTATCTTGCTCAATATTGAAGCTTTCAGAGCATCCACTGAAGCAATTGCATCAAATACAGACACAGTTTGATTTTCAACTGTTGTAATAAGTTTATGAAATATTTAAGTTTAAGTGTTAATGAAATATCCTCTCTAGAAATCTAACAAGTATTGGAAAAAAGTTTATTTCCTTGCGATTAGACGCATCAGTTGAGATTGAAACAAATGAACATTTTTCCAAATCACCTGTTGGTCAGTCTGGTGCCCGTCTCCTCTTAACTTACGCTTGAATTCTCAGTTTGCAATCTACACTACTTATATATGCAGTTAAATTTTACGTTCTCATACTACGATTTTTCGGGACAATTTGGAACCGAGAAAGGGCGAAAGGGCCAGTTTTGAGTTTTGCTTTCTGTGTCGAAAGTCAAAATCTTTATTTTCAACACCAGTAATATAAAATTATTAGAAAGCTCATGACTTTGTTCTTTAGTATATTTTAGTTTAATTATGCTACGTAAGAAATGTACGTACCTTTAATGTTTCCATTAAGCTAATAACTTTTTCCTCTTCAAGTTCCGAGGGAAACGGCCGAATCAGTTCATGAAACGGTACATTATGTACATCTTTGACATGCGCAGCATGAATACTGCTACCAGAGAAATTTTCAAAATTTTCAGTCATTTTCCGATCAGATTCAAGCAAATCGTTCGAGCAAATGACACGGCTTTCTCTTTTACCAGCAACTGAAAAGCAGCGTAACACGGTATTCGGAGAAAAATTCGCGGCAACGATCTGATAGAATACATCCCTGTTAAATGAGGAAATTCCGGTAAAGAATAATACGTTCTTTGATTCCGGTTCCGTTGCCGTCACATTTTGTTTGCTTTTACAATATTATTTGCATTAAACTGAAAGTAAAACGTACAGAGTAGTTAACCTTCAACAAAATAACATATCTAAACCATGCTTTCGCAGTCCTCGCATGACGTAATTTCCGAGGATTTCCACTATTAAAGTTTTGTTGAGATACTGCAATATCCTTTAAATCAAAGTACGAAATTGAATCAGAATAAGAAAACTATTATAGTGTCTGTTTTTGAGCATGGATCATAATTTCGAACGGCGCGCTGAACCATTGCTCATATAAAAATTGGTTCTCCAACTCCACCTTAGTAAAGAATTCAATTGAGAATCCATATTAAAAAAAAAAAAAAAAAAAAAAAAAAAAAAAAAACTATAGCATCTCATGAAATATTGTTTTGATTTTATTCATGCTGCCAGCCATTCAAATTTTGGGTTTACTTAATTCCATGGTGTGGGTTTATAATCAACATAGCGTGGATATTTTGTGCGTTCTTTCGATTTTATCAAATTTCAGATTTGGTTTAAAAGAAAATTTTAAAATGGGTAATATACCCTAAAAATAAAGGTGGAGGAACAAGAAATAAATACAGAGAATGTATGATGAAAATAATGATTTGTTTCTGGTAAACATTTAAGAACGTAGACGTAAACAAAACATCCGTTTTATGACGTAATATGGAAAAGGCGCGCAGATGAAACTGCTCTAGCAAAGAATTCTTTGGCTCTAGCACATTCGAAGGGCGATCCAATAAATATTAGTTTGGTGTCAATTCGCTGTTGAGCTATTCAGCAAAGATTTTGATATGCATTTCTCTTGGAATAATGTAAATGACGATGGACTTTTCGGCCCTAAGTCATTGTTTATGGTAACATTAGACTATGTATCAAAGAATGCAGAAAGCATCCAATGTTTAATAGGTTTTCCCGATATTGTTGGGCAGAAAATATTTGAGCGATATATATCATTGAATGAATTCATTTGCTGTTCTGCTAGAGACCACATAAAGGTCATAAGAACTTTTAAAATTGCCTATGAAAATCTCCTTTTAGAATCTTTAAATTTAAACTCAAATCTGCTTGTAATAAACGAATATTTAGATCATATTTTAGAGCTAACACATTTTATAACTGAATTATGTGTTTGTGACTGTTATTTAGGCAATAATCATGAACTAATAGAACATATTTCTAATTTGCATAGGTATGGATTTTTTTCCCTTAAATTATTGCATATTTTTTTAATTGTGATTAGAAATACAGCAAAAAGCTTTTATTGAGATTACTTAATTTCATCTTACTTTTTAATTATTAATGGCTTTATCTGCATATGTATTCCTGCAATATTTATTGATGGAAATCTTTTTTTTTTTTCCTCTGAAGATTTTGCCGTAGAAATTCTGCATTAGAGTAAGTTTTTCTGTTCTGTTGATTGTAATAGGCTGCTTGATGGAAACTTGCGTATTTTAAGGTACCTTAATTTCATTTCAGCTGTTAAGTGCATTGGAGTGAAAAAAGTCTCTTAAGCAGTGCGTCTACGAATATGTATATATGTACTTCCAATAATTAAAAACCTTTCATAAATATTTATGCCTTTGATGTGACTAAGAGCTAAAATATGTTTAATTTTCCACAGACAACTGAGTGAATCAAAATGAATTTAAGAAAGCTTGGGAAATTTTAGTATGGTTATAAAAGCAATTAATAAAGCTATCATTTCATGAAAACTGTATATACATAGTTCTTATATTAAAATATATTTATTAAATGTAAATATATTATTTACATTTAAAACATATAAATATACATATTTGCAATTTATTTATTAAATGTAGATACTATTAAATCCTGTTTGATTTAGCATTTCATCAAGAGGGGGAAAATGTATTTTATTAATAGTAATTTAAAATATCAGTTAACCAAATAAATACTTAATGATATTTTCTGAAAAATAGCAGTTAATTTGCTACATTCAGGTATAAAAATTTTAAACTACTTTTTAAGTAAAATTTAACTTTAAAAATAAAAATTTGCTAATATTTAGACCAAATAATACTTTTATAGATTAATAAAAGAAAATCTGAACATAGAAAGATTGCAGAAGTGTGAACACAGTAAAGTATATTATATATACTACATTACTATGTTTAAACGCTGCTGAAGTAAAAGTTTCTAGTTGTATTTTAAAACATCTGGGTAAAATCCTAGGAGAGCCCACACTCTTGGTGACAAACTGGGAAGTACGCACTGCTTCACACATTTCTCAAAACCGCCGGGGATGTTTCCGTAACTGGCACTAGGCGAAATTTCGGATTTGTTTTTGAAAATAGTCAAAGAGTTGCACAAACTCTGCATTGCATACTCCGTGGACTTTATCCATATATACATCGATGCGCGCCATAACCAAAATCATTCAAGCCAAGGGTCACTCTGCTAGGATCCAACCACCATCTGGTAGGTTTCAAAAATATGCTATTCATTTTTATGTTGGAATGATATTGAGTAAATTTTTGTTTTAACACTTTATTTATTACATTATTAGGTACTCTTCTATTATTGGGACCAGATTAAAAAATGTATGTATGTATGCATGTAAGTGCATATATGTGTGTATACATACACATACATTCATGCTTACAATGAACACATACATCCATACATGCATATGAACATACGTTTCTGAATCTGGTCCTGATAACAGAAGAGTACCCATTTTTATATTATGTGCTTAAATTAACAGCTGTCCAAATAAAATATTCTTGAAACAATCAAAATTTTTAGTTTCAGTTTTATTCTGTAAAACTACTTTTCAATTCAGTTACTCTTCATTTTTATAATGAAATATTAGTAAATGTATATAGTATTTGCTTTCATTTGTAGGCTGAAAAAATTGTGTTTGAAAAATAATTCCTTAAAAGATGGAGCTATTCGTAAAATTACACTTCCACTGAGGATGTTTAATAAAGGCCCTACACAACTTGAATATTTGAACTTAGCAGGTAAATAATGGCATTTAATTAGAAAGCAGGTAAAGAATGGTATTTAGTCCATAAGCAGGTAAAGAATGGTATTTAAGTAGCAGGTAAATATGGTATTAATATATCTTGGTTATTTTATTTAGAGTTTCATATTAAACTGCTTTACTGCTTTTGCGTTCATTGCTTCACATAATTTTTCATGTGTGTCATTTTTCACATGTGTTCAGTTTTTTTTCTTTTTACTTATAATGCACAATAATGATTGGAGTATTTGTGTATTAGACAGATGCCAGTAATAAATTGCCAAATGAGCACTCGCAATTACTAATATTGTTGATTAGATGTTACAAATTTAGTACTCCCGTTGAAATGGAAATAAAATTTGCATGCTACAGGTTAAGCATTTAAGTTTGCCAATTTTAGCTCCTAAGGGAGCAGCCTCTTTAACAAGGTAATACCAGTTGTGAACAAAGTCACATATGCTAATATAAGAATACAAACATAATTATTTAAACAGATAATTAATTATAAATTGTTCATAAGTACTGCTTGCAGGTTTACAAAAGTACAAAAAGGAAAAGTATAATAATCTCTCTAAAATCATTTGACGGGCACATTTACAGCAGAGGAAACCTCTCGTGTTAATATTCAGATGATCTTCCACTCTTTGCAGAATGCCCTCTACAACTTGTGGGATCCGAACACTCCTCTCACGCCTTGTATCGTGTATGTCGGTGACAAAGGATCCCATTTCACACAGGCACTGATGAAATCGCTCGAACATTTTTCGGTCTGGCATGCGTATTCTCAGGAAACGCTGCCTGTACAGTCTTTTGGCTTGCAGAGCATTCCCATTTGCAAGACCATATATAAAGTGCATGTCCACCCTTTTTCTGATTAGTGTATATCAACATGCATTCTGAAATCCATGCTAAATGACAATATGTAAGAAAACTTGTGCTTTATGTTTTCCATTACAGTGCCCTCTAGCAGTTCAACACTTGCTCTCTGCCCATGCATTGTATGGTAAAAATTGCTTGTTTAGATGTTTCCTGTCACTCCTTAGAATTTTACCCATCAGTTTCAAAATATGCTGTATATCATAATTTCTAATGCTTTCTTTTTATCTTTTTTATGTGTGTGTATGGCGTTTTTAACGAGGATTTTCATTTTTAGAGTAGCTTTTTTATGCTACTTATTATAGCTCTTGTATTCTACAATGTGATATGTTCTGGTGATAAAAAGTGGACCTTCTTAGAATCCAAGCATATGGAAGAACTGTCTATATTATATGGATGAAAAAAGTTTTGATTATTTTGTAATGCTGGTGTAATGATTAGAATCTGCAATTTATAATGCTAAAATGCTAAAAGTTTTATTTTTATTCAGTGAACTTTCCGTGATAAAGTAATTTCAGCTTTCAGAATTCACATATTAATGTCTGTAAATGTAATTTCATTTGCTATTTTGATCTTAAAACAAATTTTTTAATTCCGTTTTTTATTTAAGAAGAGAAGAAAAGAAGAATATATATATATATACTATATACGTAATGAAACCTTGCTTAATGAGCATAATTGGCTCCCCAAATCTTACTTGTAATGCGAAACACTTATTGAGCAAAGTATTTTTTTTTCATAGGAATCAATGTAAAATAGGATAATTCTTTAAGTAAAACTTTAAAAAAATTTATAATAATGTAATTTATAATTTAAGATATATTCCTTTTTTACAAAGAAATGGTCTAAAGACATGGTTTTGAGTATGCTTCAAAATTTGGCAAAAATGAGACTCAAATAAATTTGTGATTCGGATATTTACTCCCTTATTAGGCTGAGGCTTCTTAGCATACGATATGACAGTTTCCTATGCTTTCAGCATCTCTCTTATTTCACTGGAAGGTTATTTCTTTGCTAAGGCTGTTATCTCCTCCTTTCTTAACAAAATCTCCTTCACAACTTCTTACTGTGACACAGAATGCAGCTCCATAAACAACTTGACAATTAGTTCATCATTGCTATATCCACTTCTAGCCCTATAATCTTGGAAGAAACACAACACAGGCTCTGCAGGCACTTGCTCACACTCCTCAGAGTCGTGTTCAACATCACTGTTAAGCCAGAGCTTCTAACTAAAATACAGGCAGGATCCTGTGTGTGAGATCACAGTGTCTCCACATCATTCATTCTATGAAACACAGCTTGTTGAGAGTCATTTTTTAAAATTTATTTGGCTCATTAAGCAAGGTATGACTGTATATATACAGTACAAAGTCTTTAATCCGGACTCGTCAGGACTTCGGCAATTCCGGATTATAGATCATCAATTTAAATCTGGTAAGATGGCAGGCAGAAATTATAAAATTAAAAATATGAAACCATAATTTATGAAATAAAGAGCAATTATGATCTAAAGGGTATCAAAATTTACAAAAAAAAAAAAAGCTTAATATTTGTTTACTTTATTAAACATTTCTTTCAACGCATGCATGCATTACTCATAGTCGAAATTAGAAAATTGCAATCAGAAAACTATTTGATGTGTATTCGCGATATTTATGATGACGAGGAATTTGATTTAAATCATATCAAAGGCGAAGTACATCGAGATGAAATACTACATTTAGTAAGGAATTATAAGCCGAATAAAATAAAAACATCTGCCCTGAAGATGAGGATAGTGCTGACAGATCAACTAGTTCATTGTGCACCACGACGTTTCTTCCCCACGGCAGAGCAGTGTGAAATTGATAAACTGATTTCGGAATGGTTAGAGAAACAAATCACCTCTCTGCCACTTTCTTCATGCCTTTATCCATTTTTTTGCAGCAATTCCACTTTTTGTTTAATGGACATCAAAATATGCTTTTGTTTTGTGGATCCTTTGGCAGCTTCAGAATCGGAAACTCTTTTTGATGTAATTGAAAGTCCAAGCTTACTTTTTATAAAATTGCTCTAACAGTCTGCAGTAAATAATAAGCCGGATCCAATTAGAAAATTAAGGAACAACGCAATCTGCAACATTAACTGAAATAGATAATTAGATAATTTTAGTTTAGCATATACCGTCTGTTATACATTAAACATGCATGTGTAAACATATTATGTGCATGCGTAAAGGTGTTATGCGTGTGCGTAAATGCATTATGTGTTAATGCATGCGCAGAAAGTTTGTAGCTTTGAGGTCCAGATTATAGACGTCTGGATTAAAGACTTTGTACTGTATTTATCTTGTAAATTCTCTCCATGAAGTAGAATTTAATAAATATATGTATCTGTTATTGCCATTACTGTTGTGCAAATGAAAGTTTTAACCATTATCTCAGAATCTTACTATCCTTCAGCTGAAAAAAAATTACTTTACTAATTGTTTAAAAAATAAAGAAATTAAAATTATGTTTGTGTCTCAGACATTTTTACTGCTAAATTAATCTGCTTATAAAATAATGTATTTTTTCAGGTAATAAAATAACAGATGATATTGTACCTTGGTTATCGGCATTCAAGGCTTTGCAGTTTTTAAATGTCACAGATTCAGATATCACTGTATGAGCATATTTTAAACCTTTACCAGTAACTCAAAAATTATGGTTATTGCATAATATTTATAATATTTATTTTATGTTTAGTTTTCTTATCTAACATAATATTATCTTTAACAATTATAATTTTAAAAAAGTTTAGTGAGTTTATGAAAGAATTATGTTTTATTTTATTATAGCCTTCTGATAAATTCTTCTGTATGTAACTATTGTTATTTTGAGGAAGATATAATTTTTTAAAACGGTAAATTAAATATTTTTCATACTGTTATGCATTTATATGTAATAATGTTAAGAAAATGCTTTTGATTCCTAAAATATTAATTTTAGAAATACCATCATTTTTGGTTGATATTTCTCAAATACATCAAATGTTTATGAATAAATTTTTGTTTTAAATACAAGTAAGAAAACCTGCAGTATTATGACTTTTAATTATCATATTTTATCATAATAATGAACAGTTGATTAGAAATATTTTGATGAAGTCTAACGTTAGGAATGGAGACAAATAAATAAGCAGAGATTCATCTAAATTAACATATATTGAAACACAAAATGGCACAAGTACAGTAAATTCTACATGGTAAAGTAAAACAGTGACAACAACTAAAAAAAACGTTGCCAAGAGAAAAATATAAAAAGCGTGTTGCCACACATGTTGTAAAATACAAATGGGAAATATAATCACAAATAAAAGTTATTTACAACACTCCCCCTTGATTAAATTTCCCTCAGTCCTACACAGAACCTTTGATTGAACAAGGCTTTCTTTTGCACACTCTTTGTGAACATGTCTGCTGCATTTGAACTGGAAGGCACATACGTAAAGTTTAACAACTTCTCTTCAACTTTTTCTCTCAAGAAAAAATGCCTGAGTTCAATATGTTTGTTACGCTCTGAAGTGACATGGTTTTTGGCTAAAGAAATGGCACCCCTGATTATCAACAAATATGCTTTGTGGAAAGTTTAAAAAATGTTCTCCCACAATTTCTTTAAAAAAATTTTGGAACCACAGTACTTCCTTGGCTGCGTGGCACATTGAGAGGTACTCAGCTTCAACTGTTGACAATGCAGTCGTCTGTTGTTTCTTACTGCTCCATGAGACAGCTCCACCTGCTAGTAGCACCACATAGCCACTAAATGATCGTCTGTCAATCTTATCACCAGCCCAATCAGAATCACAAAACACTTCCAAATTCCTTTCCTGTCTTTTGGAAAAGTCAGCTTTAATTCCTTGGTCTGTTTTAGGTAACGAAGGATATGTTGTACACCAGCCCAATGTTCCTTGCTTGGGCAATTATTGAATTGGCTCATGTAAGTAGTAGCAAAAGCTAAATCTGGCCTTGTTCCTCCTGCTAGGTACAAGAGCCCTCCAACAGCCTGCCTATATTTTAATGCTCCTTCAGCATTCAACATGTTATCCTTAGTGGCTGTTGCATATTTCATACCTGGATCTAATGGTGTTGATGCTCCTTTAGCATCTTGCATATTGGTTGTTTCCAAGAGTTCACTAGCATAGACACTTTGGTCAAGAGTCACACAGCTATCTTCCCTTCTGCTTATCCTAATTGAAAGAAGGTGATGTATTTCTCCCAAGTCCTTGATTTTAAATATAGCTGCAATATTATCCTTAAATTCCTGAATGATGAATTCTTTGCTGGACATTACAAGAAGATCATCCACATACACACCTACAATTAACTCCTTTTCTTTATTGAAGTAAACACAAGGATCTGCTCTGGATCTTGTTAGGCTCGTTGATTTCAGAAATTTATCGAGGCACATATTCCATTCTCTCCCAGACTGTTAAATGAAGTCCATAAAGGCTTCTCTTTAGCAAGCAAACTTCTCTGTGTGTTTTCTCATGCAGACTCATGGGTGGCTGTTCCATGAAAATTGTCTCACTCAGTCTTCCATTTAAATAGGCTGCAGTAATATCAAGTTGATGAACCTGCCAGTCTTGCTCAACTGAGAATGCTAATAAAGTTCTAATTGATTTTGTTTTTATTACAGGAGAAAACGTCTCTTTGTAGTCAATTCCTTCGACTTGGGTGTAGCCACGAGCAACTAAACGAGCTTTGTATCTTTCCACTTGTCCATCTTTGTTAAGTTTTCTCTTGAAGACCCACTTACATTTCACAACTTTCCTTCCCTCTGGCCTATGCACTATGTCCCAAGTTTCATTTCGTTTCAAATTTTCCAACTCTTCTTCCATGGCTAACTTCCATTTTTCTGCATCTGGATTAGTTAATGCCTCTTTTAAAGTTTCAGGATCATTCTGGAAAGCTTTCTTGGGTGTTGAGCCTTCATATTTCTGTTTCTCGGATTGTCAGCTGCACTGCATTCCACTTGTAATTCCATTTATTTCTGGAGGATTTCCTTCATAAATCTCTGAATTTTCCATGATATAATCCTTTGTCCACTTAGGCGCTGAAATTTGTCTTCTGGGTCGATTCTCCTTTTCTGGTATATCCTCCACCTCCTTCTTTTCCTGTTGAGGGCCTTCGTCTATTACTTTATTTTCCACTTCATCATCTTGAGATGAATTTCTTCCAGAAACTTGTTGTGGGTGCAATGTTATAATGTTTCCAGTCATGGAAGGTTTCTTTTCAAATATGACATCTCGGGAACAGATTACTGTACCGGTTTCTTTGATGTAAATGCGGTACCTTTCATCTCCATCATACCCTTTAGTTGCCCTTTTGTCCATCTTTCTCCTCTTCTGAACTGGGATATGAGTATAGCAAGTCGATCCAATGATGCGCATTGTTTTATTCTGGGTTTCTTTCCCATCCATAATTCATAAGGGCTTGAATTAGGAACTGAAGACTTTCTTGTCCTATTTAATATATAAATTGAAGTACTGACTAACTCTGCCCATAGGAAAGCTGGAAAGTCCACTTCCTCATTTGAGTATTTGAGAGTTCTGGCCATTTCTAGGACTGTTCTGTTCTCTTGTTCAGCACTGCCATTTTGTTCTGGTGTATATGGAGCCATGAGCCTCTGGGAGATTCCTTGCTTGTTCAAGATCTTGCGAACGGCTTGGTTGTCAAATTCTCCACCATTGTCACTGAGCATTTCTTTAACCGTATGCCCTAAGTTCTTAGCTTGAGCTATGAAATTTTCAAGCACATCTTTTACTTCTGATTTGTGCTTTAAGAAAAAACAGTATCGAAATTTGGTGTAGGCATCTTTGAAGATTGCAGAGTAATGGTATTTCCTAAATGACTGATCAAATGGCCCACAAATATCTGTCGAGAACAATTCTCCAGCTTTTGTAACCACTTTCCTGGTTCCGAGCTTTAAACGGTGGAATTTTCCATATACACAAGCTTCACATAATTTCATATCAGACTTAATCTTAATATTCAACTCTTTCTCTACAATGGCCTTTACATGCTTTTTATCTTGGTGATCCCATCGTTCATGATAAAGTTGGAGAGTTGATTCATTATTCTCAGTCATGTTGATGTTAATGTGAGTTTCAGGAACTAAGGTCTTCATCACAGCTTTGAAGAGACCCCCACCAGCATTTCTTGTTCCATGCAGAACTATTTCACCGTCTATTTTTAAATAGCAGTCCTTAAATGTTGATTCAAACACACTGTTTTGATTTCTATCTTGAGATGCTAACTCAGAAAATAGATTTTTACTTATTTCTGGAACATACCAGACATCTTCAAGATTTTTTGATTTGATTCATCCATCCCATTTACAATGGTCATTATCTTGATGGTGCCTTTTCCAATTGCTGGTAATGACTTTCCATTTGCCACAGTGATGCTATGAGGAAGCTTAAATCTTTTGAAGTCTATAAAGTAGTGCCTGTTATTGACGACATGCTTCGAGGCCCCATTATCAATAAACCAATCATCAGAATTCGTTCTGCAGAAAATATTGTATCATCTACAGAAGTGTCATATTTGCAGCAACACTGTTTTTACTTCCCTTGTTTGGCCCTATATGTGGACTGGGTTTCGGTGGTTTTCCATCAGCTATCCATTTCTTGCATGTTCTGACCCAATGTCCTCTCTGGTGGCAATAATTACACTTGCCATTGTTTTTCTTGTTAATAGATGATTTCCGCTTAAATTCCGGATTTGCTATCAATGCTTCCTGATCTAAAGTTTCTAAAAAATTTGGATCTTTCCTTAATTCTCTTTCATGGATGCACAATTGTGTGGTTCTAAAGTTCTCTTTTCATCACTAAGAAGTAACCAACTCGATTTGAAAGTACGATAACTGGGAGAAAGAGTATCCAATATTTTACAAATCAACAGCATTTCTGGCAGTCTGTTTTCTTTCTTATTTTCAAGCCCACTGTTCAGTTCATTCCATAGATTTTTCAATTTTGACAAATGAGCTGCCATATCATCATTTGACCAACTGAATTTGAAGAACTGTAAACATATGTTATAAAGTTGGTTATCGGACAAATCTTCGAATACTTTGTGAAGTTCCAGCCAAATGTCTCTTGCGCTGTCAAATCTCATTACCTTTTGTAAAGTGTCTTCAGTCATGGAGTTCGTAAGAACCATCATAGCGCAATTATTTCCTTTATTAAAAACCTTCATATCATCTCTAAATCTCTTTCGAATCTCTTCGGCGGCCGCATGATCAGGCTCTGGCTTCTTCAGTTTTCCTTCCACGACTTCTAAAGCGTTTTTGTGATAATTTAATATGAACTTAATTTTATATTTCCAAATAGGCCAATCACTTTTTCCACATAACGGCTGAACCAATATCTTTGCAGCTTCCATTTTTGCGAACTAATTTGCCGACTCACATAAGGCTTACGAACTGCCGGTAATGTTTATCTCCACTTCGCTCATAAATTTCCCCGCACAGTTATATCATGCTGGGTACCCCATAACCTGATGAAGTCCTAACGTTAGGAATGGAGACAAATAAATAAGCAGAGATTCATCTAAATTAACATATATTGAAACACAAAATGGCACAAGTACAGTAAATTCTACATGGTAAAGTAAAACAGTGACAACAACTAAAAAAAAAGTTGCTAAGAGAAAAATATAAAAAACGTGTTGCCACACATGTTGTAAAATACAAATGGGAAATATAATCAGAAATAAAAGTTATTTGCAACATATTTTAGTGTATTATTTTATATAAGATTTTTCCCCCCTATAACTTCACTGACTATCATTCATAAATTTATATATTATTCTTCCTTAGAACTCTGAATGTATTTCAGAGTTTTCTATATCATTTCAGTTCAGGTGTATGTATATAAATGAATTCATTTAATGCAAAAGCCTTTTTATTATATGATGGCAGTGGCATAGCTGGGGGTGCAAATTGATGTTATGAAATTTTAAAATTAAATGTTTTCTATTCCTAGCAAACATGAAAGTTATCCACCAAAAAATGTTCTTTATAAAGTTAGGAAGGAAAGGGGGAAAAAAAAAAAAAAAAAAAACCCATTAAAGTAGCACTTTTAGTACAGGTAGTAATTACCACCCAAATCTACGATTTTCTGCCAATGTTTTTGTAGTTTTTGAAAGCCTTCGTCATAGAAACTTGGTGGCCATGACTCCCAAAACAGATCAACTTCATTTTGGACATCCTGTGCAGAATGGAAGATAGCACCAGCAAGATGCAGCTGCAGATGTGAAAAAAGGTAGAAATCCGAAGGAGCAATGTTAGGGGAAAACGACATTTTTGTACAAATTTCACAACAGAGTGTTCTAAAGCAAGTCTCTTTCTTTCAAATGCCAAAAATCATTTGACAAAATCTGATTAAACATGGCAACACAAACTGCTTGCACAGGTGATATTTGCAGTAGCAGAAAATTTCTGTTAAAACCCGATAAAATAGTAAATAGAATAAAAAGTATAATAAAATAATAAAAAGAAGCATTTTATTAAAACTGAGAAATTTTATGAGGGGGGGATTTTATTTGACAGCTAAATAGCAGTTAAATAAAATGTGTATGTGGTTAAATACAAAGCGGGTTTATCCGTATGTAATACAAACATGTTTGGGTTGGCTGCTGTCAAGTGTATATTCAAAAATGTACAAAAATATATAAATTATACTGAATACTGAAACATAAGTGTAAATAATAAGAAAGTACACTGAGCTTTCTACTGTATAAATGATCCAAAAAATGCTGTATTTTCCCCCCATTATTGAGGAATAATTATTACGTGAATTTGGCTGTGTTACGAATTAACTTGCAGAGTGTGCGTCTATTTTTGTAATACTGAAATGTGCTTTTCTTATTAGAATAAAGGTGCTGATATTATTAAAAGGAAATACTGTATGGAACTTTATTCATCAGACTGCGATACAACTGTAATTGTAACCAAAGGTTGGGCTTCAGATCTTATTAAAAAATGGATTGATATCTGCACATCTAGAAGAAAAAATAAAAGGATAAAAATTCAAAATTCATTTTGTAAGTATTTTGTTTTGCTTCTGTATGCTGATACATTTTCATAAGATTTATGTACGTATTCAAGCTCTTTTTGTACTTTATAAAAGTGCTTTTTCTTCTACTTATCGACATCTCATGAACACAATAACAGTTTTAAGTGCTATTGAAAAGATTCTACTTAGATTAAAATTATCACCCTGGTAGTATATCAAATGTTAATACTTGCTTGTAAAATATTATATCTGTAACAAATGTAAATTTAATAATAGTATTCACTCATAGACAGGCAGTAAAGCCATTGAACGCTGGTAGTTCAGTCTGGGGTTTCAAATCCCAAATGGGATGGCTGTATGGACGTTTTTATGATTTTCCCTATGCGTAATGTATATATAAGCCAATTTTCCTCTGAAAGTCCCTCACGAAGGCATCTCTTTCCTTAGCCAGATAGCCCACCAGTGCTTATCATAATCAAATAAACCAAACTAAACCATCCCTCACAGTAGTATTAAGTGCTATTGAAAAGATGATATTTATGTTAAAATTATTACTCTTGGGAGTATATTGGACGTTTCTGCTTGCTTGTAAAATGTAATAATATTTGTAACAAATGTAAATTGAATAATAGTATTCATTCATAAAATTGGTGTTAACTGCACACTATAAAATATAAACTCGCTTAAAAATATGATGTTTGAATCTCTTTAACATTACTACTACATCAAGTGCTTAAGACTCTTTCATCTTATATGTTTTACTTTATTGTACAATGACAAAAGACTCTTTTAAAAATCAATCATACTGAAAGTCTCTTTCTATTTACAAACACACACATATCTTGACAAGTACACAGGAATAATTAAATGGAACATAGTTATACTTAAAATGTGAAGGGGGGGAGAGGTGAAAAACTTTAAATAAAAACCTATATGCCATGTTTACATCAAGCCCCTCTGCAAAATAAAACATGCAATACATATAATTCCTCAAACCATTATTATTCCACTAAAGTACTTTGTGGGTCCAGTAAATCAGTTGTAAGACGCAAGTGAGTAAAAGGGTATTTGTTGGGTTATTATGCTGTCTTTAAGGAAGTACAATTATTTTTATAATAGCAGACTTTAATGCTTTTCTTATAATTTTAATTATTTTCCCTTCATTATTTATTATTTTATATACATCTCACTAAACAAATACCCAAATCAAATTTTTGTTTTATTTTTAATAGCTACAGATAAAAAATGTGTCAACTATATTTAGTTTTTTTCCTTAGTGATGTTTTTGAAATAGAAATTTTATTTAAAATAAAAATAAAGCCTCCATTATCATTTAGACATTATCAATTTTCACTAGATGATCAAGTTTTGCATTTTACAAGGTCTTACCCTTCTTTAAAAAAATTACTAAAATTCCATGAAAATTGCAGTATTTGTTCACAGGGAAATTAAAGAGGTTTTAATTCTCTCTGCTCAACATTATGAAAACTGGTCATAACAAATCATTCTGCTGTTATAAATATTCGCTTATATCTAGGTAAATGTAGATTTAGCTTATTTCTTTTCATTTTAGATTCAAAGAAAAGAAGCAATGAGGCTGAAAAAGCACTTTCTTATAATAAAGTAAAGACTATTTCCAAGATAATGATCTTCAAAAGAGTGCCATACAAAGAATCGTGTGTGAATCCTTTGGCACCAAAAGTAACCACTCTCTTCCAGACACCTGATTATTATAAAGAAGCTATCAAAAAAGAAATATTTTCTCAATATTTATTTAATGGTCCAAAATAATTTCTGATACATGAACATTAGTTTTCTCATTATATTTTTATCTTTTACATATTTTGACTGAAAATAAACTAATAAAATTTATACACATTCCATACTGTATGCATTAGCTTTTTATAGTTGTGCAATTTTTGTGCAGTGAACGCTCCATCTATTCTCTAGATGAGTAGTTTCTTAACTTTTTTCTTTTTGTATCCTTTAATAAGACTTTATAATTGTAGAGTATGCCTAACCTTCCCCTTTATAACCTATGATCCCCTTTCAATATTCTTGCAGTATATCTTATATTGGTATTTTAATACTGCAAATTAATAAACTGCAATAATAGATAACTTAAAAATTTATTTATCATGCTTAATAACTTTAAATGAGTATAAATTTTAAAACTCCACACTCAAATTATCTTGAATATCATGATTTGAAGAAAGAGTTGTGTAACTGACTTGATAATTTATAAAAATATTAGCTGCTAATTGCCATACACAATACACTGTGACACAATAGGAAAAGGAGTTTACTACACACGATACACGAGGAGCCAAATAATATGATGGATATATCTTATTTCAGCGTTTTTCAAAGTGTGGGTGGTGATCCGGCACTGGGTCACAGAAAAATTCAGCTGGGTTGTGGCAAAAATTAAAAGGACACAAAAAATCTATAACATTTTGCTCGAAATTTAATATTTTTCAAGTACTGCAGGTGGCAATGCTTTGCCACCATTTCTTACCGGACCATTTAAATTCGGATGCTCTGATTGGCAGATTTTGATTCATCATTCAGTGCCTTCTCCGGTACATGTGCTGTGAACTCACGTGTATCAAAACAAGGTTATGTTTGAATTTTTGTTACGTATTTTATTTGGCAGTACTTATTATTACCTATTATTAAGTAATAAAAATACTTTTTCTTATAAATCATTAATAAACAAATTCTTTTTATTAAAGCTTTCAACCTTTTTACTTCCTTGTACGAAGTAAAAAAGAAGTATTGTAATCGTGAAAAGTTTCAGGCAGCATATTTCAACAAAAATATCCATTTTGACCGCTATCGAATGCAATTTAATGATGTTTTTGCGTGATATCTGTACGTAAGGACAGAATAAAATACTCTTTCCCCTTCAAAAAAATTATAAAACTGCTTTAAAATTAATTCTGAAGAGAATTTTTCGTGGTGTCTGTACGAACATATGTACAAACGTATCTCGAAAACGAGTAGCCTCAGAACGTTGAAATTTTGTATATAGGACTGCTATAACATGTAGATGTGCACCTCGTAATTTGGTTGCAATCGGCCGCACCAAACGTATATAAATATATTTATATATATATCTACTCTGTTCCCGGCTCAGTGATCTCAGTTTCTTTACTCTTATATGTTTGTAAATTGTACATTTTTTGCTTTAAAAATGATTGTATTATGTTGTTTTTATCTTCCGATTAAGGTTTTTATGCCTTTAGTAAATCTGTATGTAATATTTTTAGAATTATCAACAATTTTAAAGTTGTCTAAGTGCTGCTAAGCCTTTTTTTTTAATGGCGGCCATTGCTTGTTCACTTTTGAAACAGCAGACTAGTGGATTTATTGCCAATCTGAAAAAACTTAGCTTCGCATTATCAAAAATAACGCCTTCATTTATTATTGCCAATTAAAATCATGCTTAATTCTTTCTGGAATTTTTTCGAGGAAATAAGTGTTTAAGATTTACTTCGTAATTTTTAATATAGATACTTTGAGTTTTTATGTATTTTTGCCTACTCGCGAAGTGAGAACTGAATTAATTAAATGAGAAATACTCAATCGTCTGTGATGGTTTTGTTTGCTTAATTTCTTTTATACATCATTCTAGCTTTATTACAGTTTTTGAATAGAACATGTGGCAATGATTAGATAATTCTATTCTTTAAATGATATAAATTTTGTGCATTATGAGTTATAATATGAACGAAATATATAAGTTAACTGTTATATAATTATTGGATTATATAACAGTTAACTTAGTTTCCGTTATATAATTATTATACAAGTTAACTGTTATGTAATTATTGATACTGTTAAGTGAATCTAGCGCCAGAGTGTCGCTATGGTAAACAAATACTAGAGTGAATTTTAAAGAATGCATTTATTCTATTGTTGTTTACGCGCTGTCGGCGAAGTAGATTTAATTCAATCCAATAAGTTTTAAATGAAATGCAGAGGAAAAAAAAAAAGAAATGCGTATAATTTAATATTTCGTACAAGGAAGTCATGTAGTGTACACATCAGATTTTTTTAATGAATAAATGGTTAATTAAGAAAACCACAGATTCAAATGATGATAATCAACCAAGCATGAGCAAAGCTGAACATCATGATCGTGAAGAAACTGTGCCTGAAGCACCTAAAGCAGATATACAGCGCCAAAATAACAAGCATGAAGCTACTTGGACTCGTGACGAATATTTACGCTTTGGGTTTATTGCCGGCGGCAGTCAAAATAATTTGCCGCTATGTATTATTTGCAGTGAATAACTTTCAAATGAAAGTATGAAACCGTCAAAGTTGAAACGGCATTTAAACACACTCCGTTCTGAGTACTCTGATAAGCCAATTAACTTTTTTACTAATAAGAAAAAAGAATTGATTGCTGCTTAAAAAAAAAATGAAAAATACACTTTTACCTCACCAGTCAAATAAAAACCTCACTTTGACATCTTTTGAAATTTCCAAATTAATAGCTGAAAGTGGGTATCCTCATAGTGCTGGGGAAAAATTAATACTTTCTGCTTTGAAAATTGTAGCAAATAATTTATGCGGAATAAAGGAAAAATGTTTATTTCCGGCGATACTTTTATCAAATAATACAATTAAACGGAGAATTGATGATTGCACGAAACATTTAGAAGAAGAACTAGTTGCTCAAGTAAAAGAGAGCAAGTTTTTTTACCTTGCAAATAGATGAAAGCACAGATATTGAGGATAATGCAAATCTAATGTGTTTTATCAGATATATTGACAAAGACACCATACAAAAAAAAATTTTGTTTTGTAAAAGGCTACCAGCAAGAATAACCTCAGGTGAAATTTTTAAGGCTAGGAATGATTTTGTCACTAGTCATGGTATTGATTGGATGAAGTGTCTTGGGCTAAGTAGCGATGGAGCACGTGCAATGGCAGGCTGTCAAAAAGGTTTGTTTAAACAAATTCAAGAATTAGCAATCAATTGTGTATGGGTGCACTACAGTATCCATAAAGAAACGGCGGTAAAATGAATGCCTTTAAATTTAAACATGACTTTGGAAGAATGTGTCAAGTGTGTAAACTACATAAAGTCTTGTCCATTAAATAGCAGACTTTTTATCGAATTATGCAAGGAAATGGGAAGTGATCATAAACATCTTCTTTTTCATTGTAATTCACGATGGCTTTCAAAAGGAAACATTTTAAAACATCTGTTTGAGCTAAAAGACGAAGCCTTGGTATTTCTGAATGAACACCCACCATCTTAAAAAGATGCTATTTTTCCATTTAAGGACAGATTCCACGATTTTGAGTGGTTAATAAAAGTAGCTTATTTGTGCGACATATTTGCTACATTCAATGAATTAAATTTAAATTTGCAAGGCTTTGGTTTAAATATTTTCAAAGTATCGGAAAAAGTCGCTGCAATAATTTAAAAAAATATCTCTGTGGAAACAACGACTTTCAAAAGGAAATTTTAAATCTTTTGAAGTTGATAATTTAATTGAAATTTCATGCCACACGGATCTTTAAAAAGTATTTGAAACTGTACCACTAATTAATTTTTGGTTGCACTGTCAAAAGGAATATCCAACCGTAAGCGAAAAAGCGATGCAATTTTTAATGCCTTTTGTCACCACTTATACATGTGAAACTCATTCTCAGCCTTGGTAGACTTAAAAAATGAGTATTGAAACAGATTGGATGTCGAACCTAATTTGAGAATAAAATTAACATCATTAAGTCCTAATTTGAAATTACTATGTGATGAAAAACATCATCATCCTTTGCACTAAGGTCAAAATAGGTAAAACAAAATTTACTTTATTTACTTTAAGTTTAATATGAAGATAATGGATTGTCTTTAATTACGTAAGTTTTTGTTATATAATTATTTTGCAATTTTTGTGTATGAAATAAACAAACAAATAAATTGAATTTTGATTTTTATTAAAAAATAAAATTTGTTTTGTAAATAAATGTTTTTTTATATAAGGTGGGTTGCGAAAAAATTTTAAATCTCGTACCGGGCCGCGGTCAAAAAGTTTGGGAAGTGCTCACTTATTACATAGCTTTTGAACATATTTCTATCCATAACAGCTAGATCAGAAATAGCTGAGATTGCTTTCCTTTCTTCAAAAACCAAATACAGTCAAAAGTCGTTAATCCGGACTCGTCGGGACTTCGGCGATTCCGGATTATCGATTTTTCCGGATTATAGATCATCAGTTTAAATCTGGTAAGATGGCATGCAAAAATTACAAAATTAAAAATGTGAAACCGTAATTTATGAAATGAAGAACAATTATGATCTAAAGGGTATCAAAATTTACAAAAAGAAAAAGCTTAATATTTATTTGTTTACTTTATTAAACATTTCCTTCAATGTAAGTTGCTTCGTTTCATGTGATAATACTTTCTCTTTAATTCCATTAAACAGACAATTTCTTGTTTAGTTACAAAGTTCCGCTGTTCAAGTCCTATAATTGCTGTGTTGAGAATACCGACTAATTTGTCAATCGAAATGTTTTCGTTTTCAATAACCTCTGGGTCACTTTCTTCACTATCGGAAGCGAATTATAATGACGAGGAACTTGATTTAAATCATATCAAAGACGGAGTACATCGAGACGAAATACTAAACTTAGTACGGAATTATAATCCAAATAAAATAAAAACATCTGCTCTGAAGATAAGGATAGTGTTGACAGATCAACTTCCAATCCGCGGCGTGAAATTCATAAACAGATTTCGGATTTCAAAACATACTTTCGCTTTGTAGATACAAATTACATATTAGTAAATATATATTGGAAATTCTATTTGACATAATCTTTCTAATCTATCATCTAATAATGACGTTTCTGCCCCCCCCTCTGCCGCAGAGCAGCGTGA